TGTGGTCCGGGGTGTTGATATCTTTGCGGTGGGAGGTGTGTGTGTGTGTGCGCGCATCTTGTCACCGAGAGAGGTTAGAGTTGGTGGGTGGTGGTGGGGAAGGTTTGTCGGCTGGTCGTGAGCTGAGAGAGAGAGAGAGAGAGAGAGAGAGACCAGGAGCAGAAAGCAGCCGCTAGTGTCGCTGCTGCTCTGACTGCAGTAAGAGGCAGCGCAGTGTCCGCTGCGGTAAAGGAGCCCTGAGCGAGGGCTGGCTTTTAAACTGGGAGAGAGAGAGAGAGAGAAAGGGGCTGTCACTGAACACAGACAGGGCAAACACAGCAGTCAGCTCACCGGAGCTCGCAAGAAAACCCACAAAGACGCGATCAACCCCCGCCCTTTGCCCAGTACCAGCCTTTCCACTCCCCCACACCTTGTTTATTTATTAAATTGTAAGAACACTCGTGTTTATGTCTTGGTCAGAATTCATCTGTGCATCTTCTCTGCCAGAAGATTCAACCACGAATCTGGTAAGGGGATTTACATTTTATTTCTTTTCTTTTAACCTAACGAACTCTTGATTTCATATTTATGTGTGTGTGTGTGTGTGTGTGGTGTTGGAGAACCGTGATGGGTTATTTGGAAAGGTTAATGTTGCAGGCATTTGATGGGGGGGGGGGGGGTGATGGTTTTCTTGATAAGAAAGCTGTATGTTCGCAGCCTTAGCAACCGGTGATATTGACACTTTGCGATGGAAACCTCAGAGAGAGAGAGAGACAGAATAAACTGGATATTTTTTCCCAGGAGAATTTGGGTGCAAATGCGACATTTTCTTGTGGATTCAGTCCAGCTCACGCCCCCTCCTTCCTCCAGGAGGGTTGCTGACAATATTCCTGCCTGCTATCCGTGCGTGGTGCTTAACACATTTTAAAAATAGCGTCGCTGCTTCAATCGTAACGCTCTGTTAATTTCACCGGCCCCAACCCCGCTGCTTTTGTGTACTTCGGCCGCTAGATCAAACAGATTGAAGCGGGGGGGTGGGGGTGGTGTGTCTTCATTTTATTACGTAAAGCCGCCTTTGGGTAGGATATAAATCAGCCTCCCCTTCTCTGTTCGGACTCTCAGATGTGGGCGAAATCCGCGCAGCAAGCGGCTCTCCAACATGTTACTCCGTCAAACTGCAAACCACGGCATCAGCTAGTAACTGGGGCAGGGGAAGGCACTACGGAGATTCAGGTTTGTCTGTTCGCCAACCCCCGCCCTCCATGTATTTCTCTACACTGACCCTCAAATGTACAATTGCAAGCTCTCAGTACCGCCCCTTCTTCCCTCTCCACCACCAAGAAAAACAGCCCCCCCAACACACACACACACAGTGTGCAACAGCCTCTTGGTCCAACTCCATCAGGTGGAATTTGTAACAGGTTAATCGCATCAGCTATTGGATCTTTCTGCGCATTTTAAAACACTACAGCCTACTGCCTCTGCGTGAAGGAAAATGTAGAATTGCTTCATTCAGCGTCTGCTTTTAAAAATCCTTCTCTTCTAACCAGGGTCACTAATTTGTCCAGCTCCAATCCCATTTAAAATGGACTGGTTCAACCCTGGGGAATTAGTGACCTATTCATTTTTATTGGGCCAGATAGCCATTGCGAAAACATTCGGTCCTGGAATTCCATGTGGTAGAATATCGAAAAAGCAAGTGAGGTGTGTTTCTTTTTGCAAGGGAGCAGTTTTTATGACAAACCTGTGGAATGTTCTAAAGGGTGTGTGTGAAATGATCAGTTGTTTTGTTTCCTCTGACAGTGGGGAGAGGTTCTGTTCTCACTGTGATTAGCCAGACTGTAAGCTGATTTCTTCATCCTGCACGGTCTAATCCCAGAGATTCTTCCACATCGTGCCCACCTCCCACCAGTGAGGTGTCCCTGTTAACATTTGCTATTGCTTGCATGCATTTCTTTATATTGAGCATTCTGATGAGTGAAAATTGACTAGTTTATTTCCTTGCAATATAAAGTGGCTCAGTGGTTAGCACTGCTGCCTCACAGCACTAGGGACTTGGGTTCAATTCCACCCTTGGGTGATTGTGCAAACTCCACACTGACATTCTCCCTGTGTCTGCGTGGATTTTCTCCAGGTGCTTCGGTTTCCTCCCACAGTCCAAAGATATGCAGGTTAGGTGGATTGGCTGTGCTAAATTACCCATAGTGTTCAGCGATGTGTAGATTTGGTGTGTTATAGGGGAACGGGTCTGGGTGGGATGCTCTGCTCCTAGAAGAACAGGAAGGTTTGAGATGGGTGCTTGTGTCTTTAGCCTGGTTTGTACATTGAAAGCCTTGGCCTGAATAGGCTTGTATATCAAGAGCAAATTGTTGGTGACCTGAAGAGAGGTAATTGGGGATGGGGATGCCCATCACTACTAGGATACATCTCGGGTCTCCACTTTGGAGTTCCTGGTCTGCCAGGAATCTGTAGAATTTTCAATTGAGATCTGCCCAGCATCTGATGCAAGTGGTGGTTTTAAGAGTCTCAAAGAGTCATACTGGACTTGAAACGTCAAAACTATTTCTCTCTCCACAGATGCTGCTAGACCTACTGAGTTTCTCCAGTATTCTGTGTTTATTTCAGATTTCCAGCATTTGCAGTATTTTGCTTTTATTTGGTTGTTTTAACAACCACGGAATTTCGAGTTTTCTTTTAATATATAAAAAAACTGACTTCAAAATAAATTATTACACCAATGTATTGCTTTTTTTCAATTGTTTACCTGTGTTCGTAGATCATGAATTGTGGCAAGTTCTGAAATTTTGAAGCACTTTTTTTTCCTCAAAGTCCTATCATGTGGATCTTGTTATACTCTTCTTTAGTGGACTGCTAATTTCAGGAAAAAAATACTTCAGCCAAATCATTGTTATTTTGTTCTGCAATTGAGTAAAGCCATGTTTTAATTTCCATGATAAAGATATCATGTCGCAGCATGATAATGGGTGGCATGGTGGCTTGGTGGTTAACACTGCTGCCTCACAGTGCCAGGGACCTGGATTCGATTCCACCCTCGACTGTCTGTGTGGAGTTTGCACATTCTCCCTGTGTCTGTGTGGATTTCCTCTGGGTGCTTCGGTTTCCTGCCACAGTTCAAAGATGTGCAGGCTAGGTGGATTGCCCATGCGAAATTGCCTATAGAGTTCGGGGATGTGTAGATTTAGGTTGGTTATAGGGGGATTGGTCTGGGTGGGATGCTCCAAGGATCGGTGTGGACTTGTTGGGCTGAAGGGCCTGTTTCCACACTGTAGGGATTCTATGATTAAGCATCAGGGTGCCATTTGTTGAAATTGTGCCATGTATTTCAGCAAGGTTGGTTTTCCTGGGAATGGCAATGAAACCAAAACCCCAAACCTGTCACTCACATCGAAACTTCATTGGGGTGTTGAGGTGAATAGCACAATGAGATAGAAGATTGTCAATAGTTGCATAGTGTTAAGGACCAGACCCAGACCCCCTCAAACTATAGTAAGAAAGTAGCCTAGACTCTAACATTTTCTTACTTTAAAAGTAAATGCCTAGTGCTGTGTTCCAGATGCAAATCTATTGGTCAAACTACTTGACGTTAAGCAAAACATAATTTAATTAAACTCTGTAGTTAAAACATAACAAAAAAAAGTAAACCTTGGAATAACTTAGCTTTATTGGAAATCTTAACAGAAAAACAGATACCATAACTATTACTAATTAGCTGTTCCAGTATAGTAACATCCCATAAACATACACTTGGCAAAAACGCAAATTCAGAAAACATGTTGCATGTGCAGTTCTCAAATCCAGGAGGAAAGAATATCAAAAGACAATTTGGAGAGTGAGTCTAGCCGCTGGGAGAGATTTACTGCCTTCCAACCCTGCAGAGACCCCAGCAACAACTGCTGAAAGTTGACTAAAAATCCTTTATCTTTGAGAGCTTGACCACACCCACACAGGCTGCTTCTGTTGTTCCAACGTTTAAAACAAAAACCCAAGTCCTCTCAAGTTTTTTTTTATCTTTAATAGGCTGCTTGGTACTAGTTCCCCAATCTCCCTCTAAAAGAAACTAAGGCAAAACACACCTCTCAAAACCAAGCATCCACCCCAATACCCATAAACCGAGCTGCATCAGGACATTATTCAAAGGGGCCACACTGCAGCAATCTGGGATTGTGCAAAGCAGAACAGGAGCGCTAATATGGAGTTTTCAAAAGGAATGGATACCCAAAAAGCATAATCTGCCATTACCTCCACGACAGACCACAACATGAAAACACAACACAGCCAGACTCACTAGTCACCTTACCGTACACCTCAGACTATCAGTGATGACCACAAACTACTCAGACCCCTAGGTATCAGGGTAGCCAATAAACCAAAAGCCACCCTGCGACAGCTACTGACAAATGTAAAGGATCCCATACCCACAATCAATATGACTAACGTAATATACAAAATACCATGCAAGCACAGTGAGAAACACTGCATAGGCCAAGCTGGAAGAAAACTGACAATAAGGAAACACGAACACCCAACTAGCCACCAAGAGACACGACCAATTCTCACTGGTCTCAATACACACAGACAAAGAAAGACAAAATTCAACTGGGACAGCACATCCATAATAGCACGAGCTAAACAGAGGCATGCCAGGGAATTCCTGGAGGCCTGGCATTCCAACTGGAACTCCATCAACAAACACATTGAACTGGACCCTATATGCAAACCACTGAAAAACAACCGGAAGTAATGCCAATCACCCCAGAAAACCGAGGCATATAAATAACAAGCGGGACAGAACATCAGTGCTTCACTGGAGGTGCACTGACGGTGTTACCTAGCAGGGTGATGAAATGTCTGCAACCAAACACACCGGCTTGGCGAACAAGTCTACAACCTCACCCACAACCCAAGCTATAAATCTTCTCAAAGACTTCAAACATCGTCACAATAGTCACAGTGTCCCTACAGAGAATGAGATGAATGGGGGGTAGTGCAACAGGTTCTGATTGGAACAGCACAGGGAGAATACCAGAACTTGGGGGGAGAACATAATCACAGGAAGATATATTTGCAGTTTAATAATAATGTTATTTGATAAACACAGCCTTCGCATTAATGCTGGTACTTTATGCCATCTCATTGCTGTCTAATCCAATGCATTTACTGCATACACAAATCCTTCACTGTTCCTCACCTTCAAGCAACCATCTAGTCCTTGACTTCAACAATAGCTCGTGAGATAGGGTGGCCAAAAAGTAGACACCTGTGTGTAAAGAGACCTTTTTTTCAAATGTCCTCATTAATCCTTTCTGCAACTACCTTGCATTTGTGCACTCTTGTAATCTTGTCAACAACCAGTAGAAACAATCTTATTAGACTTTTCCCTGTTGAAATCCATCATCACCTTGAAGACCTTGGGCAAGTTCCCACTTAATGTTCTTGGGTTTAGTGAAGTCTTTGCAAATGACTGGAGCACCCTACAGCATCCATGCTGCTAGGGGTGTGTGTGTGT